CCCCCCCCCCTCCCCCTCTGCGAATGTAATGGCGTGGATTGGGAACCACAGGGTTAGATCAACGAGATCTTTGAAATTGAGATTTCGAGAGGTGATGAGTTTAGTCCACTTAGGGTCTTACCTTGGCTCCGTTTCGCAGGAGTTTCCGCGCGGTGCAGAAGCCGATGCCGTTCGCCCCGCCGGTGACGATCACGATTTTACCCTCGATGGTCATGATCGAAGGGAACGTGGCCCGTGGTTTCGTTTCTCAGACGCGGCGTGCACGCGCGAGAGACCTCGCCAATCGAATATATCGTTGCGCGCGGCCGGTGAAATACGAATCGAGAAATCGAGAATCGAATCGTACCGGATTGGGATTGAATGTCCCCCGCGTCTGTGGATATATACCTGACCGCGGATCGTACCGATAAACAGGATCGAGTTATGAAAAAAATTCGGCGCGAAGTGTGTCCCACGGACACCGATGTTTATTTCTGTCGGTCTATTGAGTTACCGCGCCCCGTTTCAAGTCTCTCGCGTTGTCGATCTCGCAGAACGAATGGTAGCAAGAGATACTGTAACACTCGAGGAAACGTTGCTATTAAAAGTATCAGGTTGGCATTATACACTGTAAATTGTCAGTCTTGCTTATAGGAGAGAATTTATAATAAAAATATTGAAACAATTTTCAGTGCAGTCTTTGATCTCTAACAAACACAGTAAACTCTCATTAGGTTCTTTTTTTCATATTTATTAATATACGACAGGAAAATTGGCAGGGATTAATTACGTGAATTATAGAAAGGATTAATAATTACATGTTGATTTGATGATTACTTCTACTTGTTCTTTTATTGGACGTCGAGATTAATCAACCGACAGTTAGATAATGTTCAGAGATTAATTAAATATCAACAATGTTTGCCGTGCACCTCGCAGATCATGCGCTTGTGTTTATTAAAGTTTTACCGTAAAAAATTTCATAGAAGAACATTTGCGATCAATAAGAAATAATGTGAAAAGTTTTAATTTGAACGGTCTACGAACGTGTGATTCGTACGTCTCTTCAGAATAATTTACGATCATACATTAACAGCTATTATCGATTCAGTACTCATTAATTTAGAGGTCAAAGAAAATTTAAATTATTTATGATAATAAATTTCGCAATTGTGATACAACTAAGTGTGAAAAATGATTCAGCTAAATTATTATTAAGTCCAGGAATTTTGACGAGATAAGATCGTCCGCGACACACGCAGCGCCATTTTTTTTTTTTTTTTCCGGTGAATTGGATCATCGTTTTACTCTGGTCCGTGAAAATAACAAATGAAAATAAAGATTGTTGAAATACTAAGAATGTCGGAGAGATTTAATATTTTTAATAAAACAGAACGATTATCTAAATAATATATATATATATATATATATATATATATATATATATATATAATTTAATATGTATGGAAAGTGATTATCTATTATGTGCATGTATGAATAATCACAATCAATTGTTTGTTTTGCGTTTGTTAAAAGATTAACATGGTTTTCCAAGTTGTCTACAATTCTTTTTCAGATTCAGATCGAACGTGATAATCATATTTGCTAAAATATACTTACGGCTGCCCTTCGAATGTTTCAATAGGTTTCACATCTTTATTGATGAGATTCGAGAGTGAATTGTCAAGTATCTTTGTAACTCGTGAACAACAATTTTTGTATTTTGTAACTTGCGTCTGTTTGTACCGCCAGGGTATCACACTAGCCTCATAATTCTGTCGTGATTCTCCTATACAAGCAAATAGTGTATAATAATACGTAATTTCTAGTTGTTATTCTAACGCTCAATTGAATTTATTTATTTATTTAATTCAATGTTAAATCATATTATACAGAGGTCAATTAATCAGTCTTGAAACGAAAATTAGATATAAAATCTCAACACGATTAAATCGTAATTACTGTTATTACCTTTTTTCTCTCACAAATCCAGAACAACTTAAGATATTACAGGAATCAACAGTAATAAAACATTATAGAAATTAGTATGAAACAATTTGAAGATCGTACGATCGTATGACACATTCACGTCTATCGTACGTTGCCATTCTTCATAAATTCTGCGCTATCGATCAGAATGTCAAAGAAACATTTCAAATGACAGTTTTTCTGTATCCAGTAAGAACAATATAAGAGCATGTTTTTCATTGGAAGTACATTATCATACAGATAATATAAGATATTTTTAATTAACGACGATTCATTAGTGATTGGACACAGTGTGACGAGAGATACACGTGTTATTAATTTATGTAATATAATTCGCGAGATGTACAGTGACGTTCGATATATTTATTGCATGCAGATAATTGCCAATAATCTTAACTTTGGGGGACGTGTTCTAATTATTTCGTGCGGGGAAAAAGTATTTCATGATTGCATGTTTCTTCAATATAACACTTGAATTTCTTTTTCCTCTGAATCTCTACTCTTATTAAGGAGATATCGGCGACCAAATAGTTTAATTACGTCGTTAAAAATGACGTAATTAAAACAGACATTTAGTAGTAAAAACAGAATAGCGATTGTTTATAGTTTATCAGTTATTATTTTCAAAAGTATGCACATATTGACTCTCATCCTCGTTCTTCATGATGAGAACAAGGAAAGTATTCGAAGTATATCTGAAATTTCTCAAAAGTTTGTCTTAACGTTGTTGCAATATCTAAACTGAGTTGAAACCATTTACATCCAGTTAAGTTAGATTGTCTCCTAGTCTGGTTGACCATCGTCACCTTCACTTTTCCTTGTACACGATTTGGATTCGACGCAACGTGGCTCTCTTCTCATCGGGCAAGGCTGAAATTCGTAATTCAAGTTCCTTGACCTTTATTTGCTTAGTTGAACGCGAAAGGATAGAGAAAAGTCAAGGACGACAAGAGGTTGGCATTACTCGTGCTTCGTAGACCTTAGGATCGACCTTTTCATCTTTCCTTCCCCGGGAAGTGAATCAATCGAGGGATTTGATGGACGCTGATTGCTGGTTCCACGATCCACGCGCTTCCGTTTTCTGCCCAGGCTAGCACGTAGCTCAAAGCAGTTCCAATCTGATACTTCCTGCATGCACAGTTGGCTAATTTCTTTCGACTTGTTTAAAATGCTCGGATGAGGCAATCTCACGACAGTGGTAAAGATTAACCCTTTGCACTCGAGATGTGACTCTCACTCACCACTTGGTTTGATGCGGAAACTCGATGCGCGGCAATG